TTGCACACTGTATTGTACACTAGTCATTTGTGGCTGTTGAAAACATGAAATACAGCTGGTATGACTGAAAAACTGATTTTTACAGTGGTGTAGTCTTGTAATCCCAGCACCTAGAGAGACTGAGGCAGAAGAATCCCCAGTTTGGGTCCTGCCTTCGCAACTTAGCAAGACACTGTCCCAGCAATCAAAAGAGCTGGGGATGTAGCTCTGGTAGAATGCCCCAGGCTCAATCCCTCATACTGCCAAAAAACAAAAAACAAAAAAATCCCTGATTTTTAAATTTTGCTTAATTAACTTAAAAATATAAATAGCAATATGTTGTCAGTGACTGCATTATTAGATAATGTAGCTACCACAAAAAAATCTATACTACTTTTAAGCAGTGGCTGATTTCAGGGCTCGGGTAGGGAAAATAGGAGTCTGGAGTATCTTCTGGAGTCAGAAAGGACATGCTCAAATAATAATGGGGTATGTAGAAAGAACACTGAAGCGATCTGAAGAGTCTCCAAATGACCAACTCTGGGACAGTTAAAGCCCCCAAAATAAATAACGATAATGATAATTAAAATCTGCAGGGAACTTGTATTGTTCTTGTGTTATTTTGTAAATGTGTGTGTGTTTGTTAATATGTTTTCATTCTTTTATCTTTAAAATAAAAAATATATAAATAAATAAAAATAAAATCTGCAGGGAAGGGCTGGGGATATAGCTCAGTGGCACAGCGCCTGCCTGGCAAGCATGAGGTTGTGAGTTTGATTTCCAGTACAAAAAATAAATAAATAAATCTGCAGGAGAAAGTAAATATTCATGAGCTAGTACTGATATAAATAATTAAATACATACATAGGAGAGAAAAGATTGCTTTTCCTTAAAGTAGAATTCTACTTTATGAATGGAGGAGAAATGATGGGAATTGAAAATCAGCATTGGCAAACACCATAATTAATAATTGGGTGCAGGTAGAAAAAAGGATACCACACGTTTTTGCTTACATGTGGAAGCCAAAAAGTTGAAGGTATCAATGCAAGGAAGATGGTTAATGGGTACACGGGTGTAGTGGGGTAGGAAGAGTAATTTATCATATTACGTACCACAGTAGGCTATCTATTGATAGTTATTAATTGAATTTTTCAACATAGGAGAAAGAAATTGAATGTTCCCAACACAAAAGAAATCATCGTGTATGTCTGAGGTGATAACTATGCCAGTTAACCTGATCTAATTATTACACATTGTATACATGTATTGAAATGTCACATTGTACTCATAAACATGCACCGTCATTATTTGTGGATTACAAATAAATATATTGGCCAGGTGTGGTGGCACGTGCCTGTGATCCCAGCACTTGAGAGGCTAAGGCAGGAGGATTGCACAAGTTTGAGGCTAGCCTGGGCTACCTAGTAAGTTCAAGCCAGAGCCTGGACTACATAATGAGACTCTGTCTCAAAATAAAACAAAAAGTACATTAAAGAATAATTGAGTGTGGGGATACAACATTCATGGGTACTAAATGAGTGAATGTAAGCATGATGACAAATAGCATACTTATGTACTCTCAAAGAATCTCCTTGGAAGAACCTTAATAGATACCACCCTAACGGAGTGATCAAAGTTAATCTCACCCAAAATGAGACATCCAGTACTTCTTGATATAATGCATTGAGAAGGACATCAAGATTCATAATCCCAGTCTAACCTTGAGCAAACATCGGACAAACTTCAGGGATGGTGGCACACACCTGTAACCCCTGTATTCTGAGAGGTTGAAACAGGAAGGCTTACAAATTGAGCCCAGCTAAGACAGTTTAGTAACTTACATGAGACATGATCTCAAAATAAAAACTAATTAAAAGAGGGATGGATGTATAGCTCATTGTGAAGGTCCAATTCTGGCAAAATAACGAGACTAAAAAGGAAAACTAAGGAACTGTCTCAGGGTGGAGGACACTAAGAAAACATGACAACTAAATGCAATATGGGATCCCACATTGCATCCTGGGCCAGAGAAAGACACTGGTGGAATTTGAGTAAAGTACATAGTTTAAGATTAGTTAATAATATTAATTAACATTATATCAGTGTTTCCTGATTGCATTAATTTCACTGTGGTTACTTGAAATGTAAACATTGGGTATTGACTGTTCAGAAGCTCTACATATTGTTTTCTTTTATAGCTTCTTTTATTTAAAGTGTGCACTTATTTCAAAATGAGAAGTTTTTAAAAACTGCCTATGCTTTGTGCATTCAACTGAGGGTTGTCTTCTGAGTTTCAGATTTACATGTTCACTTTGATATCTCACATTGCAAACTTAAAATATTTTAGCTAAGGTTTTGATTCTTGTGTCTGTCTGGCTCCTTTCACAGTGTTGGCAAATGTTTGGTTCCAGTCAAGTTTTTTTTGCATGTCAGACCTTGTATTTTTCATGTCTGGCCTTTCAATTTTTAATGTTTTCTGTCTCTATGGAATATGTAAAAAACAGTTACCCATTCTGTTTTCTTTGTCATTTCTAGGTCTGTTTTGATTGGTTTTAATTTTCGTTGTTGATCATATTTTTCTTGATTCTTTGCATTTCTGGTTATTTTCTGTTGGATGCCAGACTATGTGATGTTGCTGGATATTTTTATATTCCTATGAATATACTTGAGTTTTGTTTAGGTTTCAGTTAAGTTACTTGGAAACAGTTTGATCTGTTTATGGTTTGCTTTTAAGCTTTTCAGAGAGATGAGAGCAGCCTATATTTTAGGGCTTATGTTTTCTCACCACCATGGCAGCACCCATGAATTACCATGTTTTTTACTGTGACTGGTGGGATCTTTTCCTTGCTATGTGTGGGCTGTGCAAATTGTTCCCTCCACTCCTTTCAAATGGTTCTTTCCCCAGCCTCGTGTAGTTTCCTCACACATACGTGCTTATTAGCAGAAGACGCAGTGGGGGTTTTTGTAGCTCTTTGGAATGTTTCCTTTGTGCTGCTTTCTTCTCCAGTGCTCTGCCCTGGGGATTCAGCCACTTTGACCTCCCACAGCTGCCAGCTTTGTCTCCTCTTCTCAGGGAGGCTGTCTGGCAATGAGCTGGGCACTTGGAAGGCTCACCAGCCTCTGTATTCCCACCTGAGGGGTCCCTGTCCATTGCTGGTGATTTTGTCTATTTTTAAAATTGTTTTTGATGGAGGATAAATCCCTGTTACTCCATCCCAGCTGGACATAGAATTTAGCATTTGTCTAATTTTTTTAAAAATCCATGGAAAAGATTCAGATTAATCTGTATTATAAACATGTTTGGACTGCATTTATATTCCACATAATTTCTAAATAATATATTAATATAAATATGTGTCACATGTAAAAATATTAATTCAGTATACTGAGGTTATTTTCAATGCTTGTTTTTTGTCCATTCATGTTTATGATGTGAAATTGTTTGACATACAAATTAAAAGAGCAGTGGTATCCTAAGTAATTAGAAAAAGTGTTTCAGAATATATGTAGCAAATAATTAGTGTCTATATGAGATAAATTTGGTACTGCAAGGAGAGTAATACAGTGGAATTTCATACACAGTGGGAATGCAGAACATTAGACTTCAGTGACAGTTAATAAATTGCTGGGCATGGTGGAGCATGCCTGTAATCCCAGCACTCAGGAGGCTGAGGCAGGAGGATCGCTGCAAGTTTGAGGCCAGCCTGGGCTACATATGGGAGTTCAGGGCCAGCCTGCGCTACATAGTGAGATCCTGTCTCAAAAAAAGAAAGTTTTAAGTTGAACATTGGCTAGCTTACTATTGCTTATATCTTTATTACTTTCTCAGATAATCTCTTTGCGCTTTATTAAAATGGGTTTATAATATTCTTCTCAAAGGTAATTGTGAGAATTAAGTGCATTTTGTGAAAGAGCATAGTAAACTACAAATGCTATAAAGTGAACAGGTACCATTTTCAGGTTTAGCCTGACCTGAGAAGTGTAAGTTTCGAACAAGTATGTACACTAGAAAAATTTGACTATACCTGAACCTAACAGTAAAACCCAGAATTATTATCTTGGCCTGTGTTTTCTTTGGTTCACGTTAGAAATTCTTGAATTTGAGTTTTCATACCCAGTTTAACAGAAATGAGTCATTACCATTTCTTTCTTTAGCAGTGTACCATTTGCACTTAACCTATATATGTTATTTAAGGTTATAGAGAGAAATAAGTATGTTGCTCAACAGCTTTCATCTTCAGACAGAGACACATGTCAGCAACGTGCATGAGTTTCTATTACGCGTTAGGAAATGAAGACCCTTAGATATTAAGCTAAGTACCTCAGTAAATAGTGAGAAAATTTGAGGAACAAATCATTAAGTCAGATTCTCTCCCACGTAAATACCAAACTACAATCCATGGAATGGATTAGATTACGTTGTTTTTTGTGATTTAAAATGTGCAGTAACTCTTACTGAGAATTAGAATAAAAAGCAGCAGTGTTATGAGGTTTGCTCTACATTTATGAATCAGTTTAAGTGAAAACCACAATTATTTCCTTGTATGTCATTCATGCTTTAGCAGAGGATTTGATACCACAGAGCTGGCTTGGTTTGTAGTTTCTCATTTAAGGTTGCACCATTTTCTTTTCCTTTTTAGAAGCCACAAGAGTTTTGATGTATTATCAAACCACAAAATGTACCTTCTTGAATATTTAGCAGGAGGAAATGTGTTAGTGTTATTTGGTAGTCTCAGTACTTGTGGCATTTCTGTTTGGTCCTGTTGTGAAAATATAGCAGAAATGTATAATGGGGGTTGGTGGTATATAGGCAGACATGTAGAAAACAATTTTGAACCTTTGGAGTCTATCAGTTTATGTTTAAAGAATGTTGTAGAGCTTAGAGTATTGCTCAGTGGTACAGCACTTGCCTTACTTGAGGCCCTGGATTTAATCCCTAGCAGCACATACCTGTACACTAAAGATGTTTATGTTGTTTAATGTAACTCTTAACATTTTAAATCTCTCTTATTTTACTTTAGCATCAAGGCATGCCACGGGTTACCTCTCATAAATGGACAAAGCTGTGATCCTTACGCAACAGTTTCACTAGTGGGTCCTTCTAGGTAACGTTTATTGAATTGTTACTGGGTTTTGAAGCATAAAGTTGGATTTAAGAATTGGAAAATTAAGGTTCTTAAAGCAAATGACAAGTAACTATGACACAAAGTAATGAATGCTTTGAAAGAAAAATCTTCAGGGGACTCTCTTACATGTACAAACAACCAAGGCCCATTTTTACAGAACTTGAATGCCATTCTTTACGCTAGAGAAAAGCTTTAGTTTTGTACTGTTCTAAAGTGCACTTTAAACGTGAACTTGGCCTTCTTCATTCATCAGCATTCCTACTTTCAAACATCCTAAATTTTGTGCTGGTGAAATCCTCTTTTAATAAATGCCAACTCACAATTACAAGACCTCTTCCATATTGTTGTCTGGAAAACGGGTCAGTGCTGAGCCTTCTGTGCTCGTGAGATCTGTCAGTGCTCCACAGAGGGAATTCCAGGCTGTGGACAAGTTGCTAAAGTAAGAGAGTATGGTGAAATGTGTCATATCATTAATTTTAAAGGCTTTATAAGCTATGAAAAATGTATAGCACTTTATATTTTATAACTTTTCATTACAACTTCTTTAAGAGACTGACTAGGCTAAGATTTGTCTAGTTTACATTTTGAAAGTTTAGAATAGTAAAGAAAAGCACAATTATTTCCTCTGTACATACAGGCATACATACATAGACACATCCCTTCGCCCCCTCCTACTCTAGTTACTTGTTTTAACCCAAAATCACTACTAAGTCACTTGCAAAAATGTATTTATGTATGTATGTAAAGTACCTAATACCATACCATGTTTAATACCACAGGGACTCAAATAATAGTATGCTATTGTTACAGATGGTTTTAAATTTAAAAGCAGATACTCAATTTTATAATGTTAAATGCCATCGTGGGTTTATTTTTGTGTGTTAAAAGTGTTCAGCCTAGTGGAGCTTTTTATGTTCAACGATCTATACCTAACAGATGCTTTAATTGTTTAGCAATATATCAGTTAGAAACTAGCATATAAATGTTTTTGAAAGTCACTTTTGGTTTTGCTGTTGTACTGCTGTTATTTAAGGTGTCCACGGGGGTGAGGCTGGGTAAAGCCACAGGACTTCTCTGTACATTGCTCTGTAACTTCCTCAGTGTGTATAATTATTTCTAAATAAAAAGGTAGGATTTTTCCCTTTATAAAGTCACTATTCGAGCTGAAGCCCAAGCAGGAAAGTGGAGCTAAGTTTTTCAGATGATTCTCAACATAGAAAGAGGTACTATAAACTCCGTTGCTTTCTTTCTCACCATTTGTCCTGAGTGGGTTTATAATACAGGGCGTTTAAACCCCTCGGAGAGCTTCCCAGGCAGTCTGCTGTAACCACAGAGAGAACAATAAGATCTTCTTGTATACAGGATATTCTTTTATTTGAATTTGTGGGGGCACTTGGGTTTTTTTCCCCCAAGTAATATTAAAAATTGCAGTCTTCCCTGAAATGGAAGGGCCAGACCCCCTGATTGGAAGAAGCATGTTTTATAACTGTGTACAATTAAGTTCTACAAAGTAAAACTCTACCACATTGCAACAGGAATGACCAGAAGAAGACGAAAGTGAAGAAGAAAACAAGCAATCCACAGTTTAATGAAGTCTTTTACTTTGAGGTAATTTCTTGTTTGTATAAATGTTGACACTGAATATTCAGTGTTGAATTCGAGTTGATTTCTTTTTTCAAACCATGGCCATGGTAATCATTTTAACAACTAACGCAGCAAAACATTTCTATCCAGAAAGCAGTAGAACCATGGTGTAATGCACATAAAGTGGATAAAGGAAGAGCTTCCACTGGTCTAGAAGTAGGGAAGTCTAGGGCCACACACACCCACTCCCATCGTGTTCTCTGTCACATGGTCCACCAAGTCCTGCTGTCCTCACTCAGGCCCTTGGGGACTTGCTACATAGTAGCCAGTGATTCTCTACAGTAGACTGTCTGAAAACCCCTAGTAAAATAAGTGTGATTATGACCTGGTAGATCTGAAATCTAGTCCCACTTGACTTCGAACAAGTCATACTTAGGGAGGCTCAAGTTTCTTACCTTATGAGAAAGAAGTATTTTAAGGGAAAACAGTGGCAGCCCAGCCCAACTCAAAAGTTTTTTCTTATAATGCCCAAAGCATTACAAGAACCCTTTGAAAATATAAAATGTTATATCGTTAGAGCCTTGTTATCAAGTTCTTTCTAACCCGATTCGCTCTGTGGACGTATATTTATTTTCATGGAGATTTTACTCTGCTTTGAAATTGTCCCCAGTTCATTGCTTTGGAGTTCTTTACAGTGTTTGTTAAAGAAATCTTTTCTCATGTTACTTGAAGACTATAGGAAAAAAAATTGAAAACCAGACTTTCTAAAAGATTCTGTAATCATGGAATGTGTTGCAGTTGATATTGGCATGAGAAAGTTTGAAAAAAGGAGTTACATTTTGTGCTTTTGCTTCTTTTGTATGTATTTTTCTGTGTTTTAAAGTGGAAAGAGTACAGGGGACTGTATCATGCTTGATTACTATCCTTTAATGAAGGAGCACAGGCTGAAGAAAATGCCAGAAGTGAAATAGGAAACGAGTGGGTGGAAGCAAGGGAGAAAGAAAACAAAAGAAAATGTACTAATGTGAGACTTTTCCATTTTGTGGTGAAGGACTTGGTGCAGATGTTCTATGTTCGTTAACACCTACTACCTCTAACCTGAAGAAAACTAAGAAGGCAGCAACTTAAAGGTCTGCTGACCAAAGGCCCTCGGCACTCACACTGCCCGTTCATCCATGCGCACCTCAACTGGGATAGAACCTACTGTGCTGCGTAGGGCCTTACAACAAGCAGATGGCTTTTCCAAAGTCAAGTCCTGACCTGCTTGCAGTATTTAGTGGACCCTTTGTTGAGCTGGTTGTGAAAATAGATGAGTTACAGCCTCCATCCTCTAACTAGAGCAAGAGACAGGACGTGCACATAAGTATGCATATACCCAGCAGTACAGCACAGCAGACACTGTTTGAGCTGACGTGAAGAAAGACTGAAGGCGCGAAGAAAGGCTGTATTTTCTTAATGGAGAGGGAAGAATATTAGAAGGAGCATTTTGGACATCAAGACAGAAATACAAAGTTACGTTCAAGGAAGAGCAAATAGTGACTTAACTAGGTTTCTTTAAGAAAATAATGGGAAGTAAGTTTAGAAGATAAGATAAAACCAACTGATGAAAAACTGTGCAGTGCCTGGCTGAGGTACTTTACTTTTAACGGTTGAATGTTTTTGATCATGGAAGTGATAAGAAGTAAAGCAGTGTTTTTGGAAAGAATCAACCATCTACGGCCATACCACTGTGAACACGCCCGATCTCGTCTGGAAAGAATCAACCATGATCTGAGTGCCAGGTGGCTTAGGGAGAGAATACAAAGCTCAAGAGACTGTTACAGTCTAGGTGTAACAGAAGGACAGATCTGTTCAAAGAGAATAATACAGAAATAGGAAGGGGCAGATAAGAAAGACACTGCAAAGGGCAAGATAGCACATTAGTGATAGAAGAAAGAAGTCGAATTTTGTCCCCATGATTTTAAATCTGGAAAAATAGAAAAATTAGGAGAAAGAAGCATAGTGGGTTAGTTTAGGGCATGCCAAGCTTGAGAGCTGACATGTGAAATGCTCCAATAGGCTGTTCATGACTAATACATAAGACAAAATGATGGTTGTGGATTAAGATGCAGGATTTGTTTACAGAGAGTCAGGAAGGCTAAGGGAGTAGACGTAGACAATAAAGGAGAAAAGTGAAGTTCCATCTTTATTAAGGATCTAACTTTGAATATGTCCCTTCATTTCTGTACTTTAGCTTCCTCATTTTTAAGATGAGGATAGTGAGTCTAGCCCTGCCTTCCTCAAAGCAATGTTCTGATGAGCAAAGAGATAATGGACGTGAAAGCACTGTACAGGCCTGTGTAGCTCTCAGTTGTTTTTAGAACACAGTAAAAGATAAAACCTTGGAGAATACCCCTACTTATTGTTCAGAGGAATAAACAGCCTCTGAAGGGTGCCAGGGTAAACTCAAAGCAAAGGTGTTTTGGGGAAAAAGCTGTGGGTTGTGTTGATCACTGCATCAGAGAGCAAGGTCAAGGACAGTGAAAGTAAAAATTGATCGTCCGATGAAGTGGTGCAGATGGAGATTTTAGGAGGGTGATCTGTGAGGAAGCAGATAGAGTTGCTGTCATGAGTGGGTGGTGAAGTACAGGCTGTGGGGTGAATTACAGTTTTAAGATACTTGTCTGAGAAAAGAAATATACAGAAAGACCATAATTTAAGGGGAGAATTTTTCTAACTTGAGTGACATGAACAAGTTAGTAAAGAAAGCAGTAATTAAAATAGATTGGATGCTCTCTGCATGCTTATTACACACTGTATGTGGGTAGAGTAGTCTTAGAAAAGAGATCATCTTATTCTCTTGTTGGGAAATGGATGAGAAAAATCAAGTAGGGACTCCTGTGTAGGGGTGAATATAAGTTTAAGGTTTGGTCATTTTTAAGTTGATGTTTTATGGGGAAAAAGATACTTAAAAAACAATTTCACTAAAATATTTTATCTATAGGTAACCAGATCCAGTAGTTACACCAAAAAATCCCAGTTCCAGGTAGAAGAGGAGGACATTGAAAAGCTAGAAATTAGGTATGTGCCTTGGGATTTTACAGAATTGCCTTTTTCTGTGCCAAAAGAAAATTCTAAATCTAAATGAGAAAGGTGAAATAGCCTTAATAGAATTTTTTTGTAACAAGTTGGTTGATGACACTTAGACAAACATGCATCTAATTTAAATATAAATTGTTTTTTATAATCCAATGTATTTGCAGAAGTATATTTTATAAACAAAGATGACCTAATTTTCACTTACTTCAATGTACTTTTAATTTATTCTTAATTTAATTCCTTAAATATATGGATCATAGCATAATGAATGGAAAAACAATTACATTTAAGCCAATTTAGAAATAATTGTTTTATTCTTCTTAACATATCTGCTGACTATCAGAAATTTCAGTGAGGTAAGAAGATAATTTATCAGGTGCATGTGTTTGAAGTTTGTGATATTTCCTAGGTCTTATTTAGAAAGGAAAGTTTTGCAAATGCATGTGTAGATGTGGTGTTAACAGTGTGTCATCTAAAGGGTATATTAATCATGTGTTTGGAGTGATCAGATAGTATGTATTTCTGAGTCACCTATTGTTATAGTTTGGTAATAAGAGAGAAACTAGTCTTGTGTTGGTTTCTTTTCTCAAATTCAACAAAGTAACTTTGCTGACCTTATTGCCACAGGTTAAAATAAAGCCTAGACTTTTCAGATTAAGAAACATAAATGCCTTTTTAGACTGTTCAGAATTAATTTTTTGTGTGTGTTTTAAAATAAAAGCCATTGTACTATTTTGCTTCCCTCATATATTTATCTATATGTATATAGTGAGGTACCTGACAGTGCTAATATCTCTTACTTTTAAGCATGTAAAACTAATGCTATGATATAAAGACAGTAATTTGGTCTATATTCTTAAACATTGTTTGCATAAATGAAGCCAGTTTTTGATTTTCAGAATCGACTTGTGGAATAATGGAAACCTGGTCCAAGATGTTTTCCTGGGTGAGATTAAGGTTCCTGTGAATGTGTTAAGAAATGACTCTTCTCATCAAGCCTGGTAAAAAAACATTCTAGTGAACTCCATAGATTAGTCCTCTTTCATACAATGTACATGCAAATGAATGCTAGTCGGAGCATATTTTAAATTTGCTATGGAATAAGCCAAAAGTAATTAATATTAATTAATTTAGTTACGAATTCATTATTGCAAAAGTATAAATGCTTTGATAACATTAAGACTTACTCTGCAGACATAAAAGAACCGAATAGTCTAGAAATACTATTCTGTTTAAAAATGAAATCTTAACACTAAGGAAGTGGAAAACATTTAAAACATTACACGAATTGTCCAAGTGGGAAGATACTTGGTCACAAATGCACATCTGCAGTTCAGAAGCTTTATTGTTGGTCATAAGAACTGTGGAGATAAAGCAAAAAATTTATTCAGGGAACTCAGTCGTCTGTGGGAACTAACCAGTGTTTTCCCTTCCGTGCTCCACTGACATGTACTGAGGATGGTCCTGATGTTATTTCCTGAGTGTCCAGAGTCTTGATGTTGTTGAGTTGAGTCAGCAGTACATACTTCAGGAGATCTGGGGCTCAATAATAGCTGTAATACGATTTTACCTTTTCACGGCTCTAATAGTGACATTTTACTGATTTTAAATTAAACCTACTATTCAAATAATAAATTGATGCTTATTTTCTTAGCAGAAGCCATGTGGAACTATTGTTTTTTCTGTCTGTAGCATTTAAAAGCATATGTATACTCTTCCTTCCAGTAGGTTTCCCAATATCCCTCTTGCTAGACTTGAGTTCCAACTGAATATAATTAAACATGGATTTCTTATTTGCATCCCTCTTTTCAAACTGACTTACATTTGTACTTATCTATAGGATATAGTACTATACTTCAATATAGGTATATATTGAAGGGTAGTTAGCATTTCTAACTTTTCAAGTATCATTTCTGTGTTTCAGGAAACTTCAAACTCTACTTATGGTGAAATGTGTGATTTATTGTGGTAAACTGTAGTTACTCTGTTGTACTGTATAGCATTAGAACTACTACCCCCAATGCCTGCTACATTCTGATACCCGTTATCCACCTTCTCTCTCTATACACCTCTCCCCTCCCCCTCCTGACCTCTAGTGACCAGTAGTCTACTTTCTATTTAGGTTCACCTTTTTTAGTTTACACAAATGAGTGAGAACATACAGTATTTTGTCTTTCCGTGCCTCACTTCACTTAATATAATGTCCTCCAGCTTCATCATGTTGTAAATGACAGGATTTCATCCTTTCTATAGTAAAGCTTCCATTTTTGGATGAGTAAATTTTACACCATGTGATACTATTTAGCCATAAGAACCACTTTTTAGAACTTAATTTCTGCTGCCTAGAAGAGGAGTTGGCACTAAATGTTTAAATATTGCTTTTGGGTATCAGTTGTTCTTAGAGACCCTCTCTCCTACTTATCAGACACTCTTCATTTAGACTTTCATGTCCTGTAAGCAGGTATCTTTTGCAGACTGATTTTTTTTTTAATTAGTACATCTTTGCAGTACATGGTGATTACACTCATCATGGGGAATGGGTACATGCACATAACACATCTTAAATCTTTTTCTGTCCTCTTTCCCTCCCTCCTTCCTCCATCTCTTGTTCCTATTCCTTTTTGCAAAAGTTCTATCTCCGTTTCCTACTATATGTCTTTCATTTTGCTCTTTAATTTATTTGTATTTTGGGTTTCTCTTTAAAGAGAAATATTTAAGCTTGTGTGTCTGATTTATTTTACTTAACATATGGTCTCAACATGCATCCATTTTCCTACAAATGACTCAGATTTATTCTTGATGGCAGAGTAGTATTCCATTGTGTATAAATGCATTTTCTTTACTCATCTGTTGATGAACATATAGACCATTTCTGAGATTGAGTGATTATGAATGCTGTAAACATGGGTATGCATGTGTCACTGAAATACGACATCTTTAACTCTTATGCCTGTGATCCATTTTAAGTTTAGTACATAGTGAGAGATACAGATCTAGATTCAATATTCTGCATGTATATAGCCAGTTTTCCCAATACTGTTCGTTAAAGAGATCTGTGTTTTTGGCCTCTGTGTCAAAGATCAGATAGTTGAATGTCCCTGGAGTTTTTCCTGTACCTTCTATTCTATTCCATTGATCTGTATCTGTTTCTGTGTCAGTACTGTGCCTTTTTTTTCCATTATAGCTTTGTAATATAATAATTGAAATCCAGGATTGTTATGCCTCCTACTTTGTTCTTGTTGCCCAGGATACTTTTGCTATTCTGGGTCTCTCTGCTTCCATATGAATTTTTGAATTGTTTTCTCCAGTTTTTCAAAGAATGTTGGTGGTATTTTGAGATTGTGTTAAATCTGTATATCAGTTTTGGGAGTGTGGCTGTTTTGACATTATTGGTTCTGCCTATCCAGGAACAGGGATAGCTTTCCATTTTCTGATGTCCTCTTTGGTCTGCTTTTTCAAAATACTGTATTTTTCATTGTAGAACTCCTTCAGTTCCTTGATTAGATGAATTCCTAAGTGTTCAATTTTTCTTGATGCTATTGTGAATGGTATTATTTTCCCTCATTTTTTTCTCAGTGAGTCCACTGTTGATACACAGGAATGCTACTGGTTTTTGTGTGCTGATTTTGTATCCTGATACATTGTTGAATTTGTGTAATAAGAGTTTCAGTGGAATTTTTGCATCTTGTATGTAAAGGATTATGTCATCTACAAATAATGACAATTCAGCTTCTTTAGTTCCTGTACATACTCTTTTTATTTCTTCTTCTTGCCACATTACTCTGGCTAATGTTTCTAGAACTATATTGTGCAGGAATGGTAATAGTGGACATTCTTGTTTCATTCCTGATTTTAGAGGGGAAATTTTCAGCTTTTCCTCATTTGATATGATACCGGTCACTGGTTTATAATAGTGGCTTTAACAGAGTGAGATAAGGTCTTTGCATACCTATGTTCTTCAGAGCTTTTATCATGAATAGATGTTAGATCTTGTCAGAAGCTTTTTCTGCATCTGTTGAGATGATCATTTGATTTTTGGCCTTCTGTTTATGTGGTGTATTACATTTATTGATTTTCACATATTTGAACCATCCCTGTATCTCTGGGATGAAGTCATAATTTTTTATCTTTTTGATGATTTGTTGCATTTTGTTTGCCAGTATCTCACTGAGGATTTTTGCATCTTTGTTCATTGAAGAGATTGGCCTGTAGTTTTCTTTTTTAAATTTGGGTCCTTGTCTCGTTTTGGAATCAGAGTAATGTAAGCTTCCAGGAATGTTTTTGGGAATACTCCTTCACTTTCAGTTTCATGTAGGAGTTTGAGGAGTACTGGCATTAGATCTTCCCTAAAGTTCTTGCAAGAATTCAGCAATGAATTCATTGGGTTCTTGGCTTTTCTTAGTAGGTTTTTTATATTACTACTTCACTTTCATTGCCTGTTATTGGATCATTCAGGGTTTTTATAACATCTGGTTAACTTCTGGTAATTCATATTTGTCTAGGAATCTATCCATTTCTTCTGGATTCGCCAGTTTATTAAAGTATAGGTTTTCAAAGTAGTTACTAATAATCTGGTTTTCAGTGGTGTCTGCTGTGTTTTACCTTTTCCATTTCTAATTGCATCAATGTAAGTCTCTTTTTTTCCCTTTTTTGGTAAGATTGGCTAAGGGTTTCTGTTTACTTTTTTGAAGAACAGCTCTTTGATGCATTGATTCTTCTATTTTTTTAGTCTCAATTTCATTAATTTCTGCTCTGATCTTTATAATGTCCTCTCTTTTACTGGTTTGGATTTGGGTTATTCTTGCTTACTAGGACCTTGAGATACATCATTAGGTTATTTATTTGGGCTCACTCTGTTTTTCTCATGTGGGCATTCACCTGTCATCAGTTCGAGGCCACCCTGGGCTACATAGTTGAAGGCCAGCCTGGACTACATCATGAGACCCTGACTCCAAAAAAAGAAAAGAAAAAGAAATTCATGAAATAAATAAATTTCTTGGCCTGTAATGAAATAAATTTGTTGGTTATTGTAATTACTTTAATTGGTATGAATAGTATTTATATTCGGGTGGTAATTCAAATTCATGCAGCTAATAAATTAATAAAAAGACAGAAGTGATAATACCCATTTGTACCACCAGTGGTTTAAGTTCCTTGATGGATTATATGTGCCCAGTGGTGGTTCCAACCAGTGGGAATGTGCTGATCTCCATGTGTGTGCGTAATCTTTGTGGTTTCCTGTCCCATTGATTTCTAGTTTCCCTGCACTGTGATCTGATAATATGCATGAGGTACTTTCATTTTTTTTTGTATTTACTTAGGCATGTTTTTGGGGTGCTATATGGTCTATTTTGCAGAAATTTCTGTGTGCTGCTGAAAAGAATGTATAGTCTCTTGTTGGGTAGAACACTGTAGGACTGTTACATCCATTTCTTCAAAGGTAGGGTTCAACTCTGATATTTCTTTGTTAATACTTTGTCTAGTACTGACCTATTTGTGAAAATGATGTATTGATGTCCCTCGCTGTAATCATATGGATGTTCATCTAATCTTTTATGTTGGGTGTGCTGGTGTCCAGTACATACATATTTACAATTGTTATCTCCTCCTGCTAAGTTGTTCTCTTATCCAATACATTGTCATGACCTACTTTGCCCTTCTGGTCAGTTTTGGCTTGAAGTTCACTTTGTCTGCAAATAGGATAGCTACTCCTGCTTGTTTTCAGGCTGTTGTTGCATGAAATATTGTTTTCTATCCTTTATTTTTTACTCTATTTCTGTTTAGAGTAAATGTGTTTCTTGTATATAGCATACTATTGGGTTTTGATTTTTTTTTTATCCAACTTGCCAGTCTGTGTATTTTGATTGAGAAGTTGAGATCTTCCATATTAAAATGAAGGTATTGAGTTATCCCAGTCATTGCACTTTTCCTTTATTCCCCCTCTGCTTAACTGCTCACTGTGCTCTGGCTGATGTATTCATTCCATTAGACTTTTTGATAT